AAAGGTTCTCGCAAAGTGCCCCAAGCACAGAGTTTCCATCTCATCATAAGGCCTTTTTCTTTGTCCCTGCTAAATGGATTGCTCCATCCCAGGCTCCCTCTGCGTAAATCAGCTTGCACATGATGAGCTTTGCAGCAACGAAATTCGTTACCTCAACCACAAAAACCCAGAAACATTTGCTGCAACTGTCAGAATGCTTTTGCACCTAATTTAAAAAAAAAAAAAAGGTGGTTTCCTCTCTTCCTTCCCCCTCTTCCCCGCCTACTCCTAATCCCTTGCTAACACCTTTGTAAAGGCTGGGGTGAGTGGTTTGGAAACTGAAAGAGCAGGGAAGGGGGGGGGGGCAAAAAAGGAGAAAAATATATCAGATCTCCAGACAATGAAATCGAGCAGCTATCTCTCACATCCTGCAGCACTCAGGCTGAGGTCATAAGTTAAACAGGACATCAGAATAGGTGATGTAATTTGCTTATTTAGGATCAGAGAATTCAGTGAAGTGAAAGAGACAACCTATTTGAATTTGCAGATAATCCCACCATCAATGCAGGGCTGTTCAGATGCACAAACTGCAGCTGGAGCCTGAGATCTTTTTTTCCCCACACATTTATTTTTGCAGGGGATATAATTGCAATCATTTTTACTTGCAGGAAAGCCTTGAAACCTCACCTGGGATCAGCCTCCCGTTGTGTTAGGTATTGTTCAAGCAGGGTCCCTGCCCCGGCCAGCTTAAAGGCTAAAGGGTCAAGTCAAACAGAGGGTGGGAAAGGAAAGAGAGGCCCAGGGGAGGTGGGGGGTGGCACAGCTGCCCTGCAGGACCCGGGTCCCCCAGCAAAGCTTTGGACTCAGAACTGAGCTGAGCAGCAGCTTCATTTCTGAGGAAAGGCAGCTTTTCTACGGACAGACAGGCTTTCCTGGCTCCAAATGTGGCTGCAGAGCCTCACACCAGTGAGGGTTTTACAGCAGAGTTAGAATCCTTTAACCACAAGATTCTTCCAGAACAGGAGGAATTTCTCAGCGAGCCCATACAACACTGAACACGCTGTTTTCCCTTCAAACCATTGTGATATAAAGATTTAAAGCTAACAACTTGCAGTGTTTATCTCCTCAGTTTATCACCATTCAAACTGTGGTTTCACCCTGTTAGTGTGTGAGGAGTGGCACTGCCAGCCCTGCACCTCCATTGATCTGCTTCCACACAAGTGGATCTGCTTCCACTGACAAGAACTGGGCAGGGCCAGACACTGCACCCCAGCCATGGGAAGTAAAATGTCCTGAGACCTCGGGCTCACCAAGCAGTCAGTGATGAGGCACTGGCAGGTCCACAGATACAGCCCACACCTGCTTTGGGTGGACCTTCAATCAGACAGCACGGAAAAGCAGGATGGCAAAAGCCACACCACTCATCCAGGTAATATCTGCCAAAACACGTCTGTTTTCAAGAGTTTCTTTATGAGACTGGAATGTCCTCCTACTGTCCTGACAGGCCATACCCAAGTGTCACAGCAGGATGTCCCCAAGCAGGGACATCCCACCTGCAGCACCAGGAAGGATGGGAGACAACAACCTCCATGAATGGAGGGACCTGGGAAAGGAGCCAAATTTCCCACTGTGAAATGACCCAGCTGTCAGCTGCCCATACCCATGACTGCAGCCACCTTCCTTAGCAAGTTTTGGTATTTCTTTCTTTTTTAAATGCTACTTCTGTGTTAGAACTCCCTCCAAGCTGTGGAGAGCAGAGGATCACTGGCCTCCCACGTGAGCCAGGCTGTGAGCTGGCCCTAAGGCTGCCCACAACAGACCCTGACAACTCCACAGAGACGTTCCTGACTACTGTAAGGGCTCATTGTGCTGACCTGATCATGTCAGAACACCCCAAGCATCATTGCACATCGCCCCTTCCTGAAGGAGGTACTTTCGGATATCTGAAATACAAGATACTTGCACACAAGATATTCAAATGTGTGCAGAGGTGACAGGCACAGGACATTTGCATTTCAAATAGAGGGAATGGGTTTCAAATATTTTAAGGCTGTGAAATGTAGAACTTCTCAGGGGATTTTTTGCATGTCACCAAAAGACAGAATTAATCTAATTTTCACTCAGCCCCCCTAAAACATTCCTCACCAAAGGCAGCACCAGGCCTGGCTACAGCTGCTGTGCAGGGGTGGTTTCTCCATGACCATCACCAAGTCCTTACAACGCAGCACTTGAGAGATGCATGGAAAGAGAAGGCCATTCCTGTGCCACCACTGACACCTCTGGCTGTAGTCCCCACTCCTGGAGCCTTTAACTGGAGTGACCAAGCCAAAGCCCAGCTCAAGAGGGAACAGAAATGCTGAGAAGCCCCTGGGTGACATTCCCTGTGCACTTGCTGCTCTAAATCAGACAGAGGTAACCAGTATTGGCCATTGTTTTAACAGAAAAAAACAGCAGTCTTTTGGCAGGGTGACAAAGCAATCCCATTCTTTACGTCTGCAAAAGCGAGCCCCTCCATCCCTGCTGAGGGAGATGACAGAGGAAACATTTTCCAGCAATCTTGGGTACAACATTGAATTGGAACCTATTTTTACCGTGGGCTCTGCACTACACACATTAATTGTTACGACAACAATATTTGCTGACATATTCACTCCAATCATTTACAGAACAGAAGCCCAAGAGACAAAACAAGCCCTTGCTCTGTGAGACAGAGGGAGGCAGGCAGGATGCCACATTGCTTCCTGTGACACAGAGTGAACGCTTATCTGTGATGGTTGATGGTGTCCATAACCCACCCCTGCACGGGCAGACCAGCCCTATGGAGACGAGGGAGGAGAGTGGCCCATGTTATGGATCAGTATTCCCCATCCTCTTCCTTCTGCCTAGCACGGGCACAGCAGCACTCAGCTGTTTCTGGAGCCCTGCTCATATGCCCAACCTGCTCCCCACTTCAGGGACAGCCAAAACCCCCCTGTTGCCCCTCTGCAAGGAGGGGGCAGGGCTCAGGGCAGTTTGGGAGCCCTGGGGTCTGTAACCCGGCCCCAGAGCAGCACAGGCAGGCACAGCTCAGCAGCTTCAGCATCCAGACTCCATTCTAATTAAGCCCAATTAGGTTTGCAGAGAATGACGATGTTCTAGAAAGAACATACAAAAGAACTGCCGAGGTCTCTGTTGGCCACTGAGGCCCCAGAGCACCCTCTTCAAGGCAGAAATCTGCCATTTTTGACAAGGGCTGTCAATACTGCACAGTGTTGGAGGATGATCCATTTCCATGTGCTGCCCACAGCCCCCCCTCACACACAGTCCACAGAGCACTGCAGTGCCCAGGCACATGCAGCTGGAAGAGCTTGGGTTCTCCTCCAGAGCACCAGTAACGTATCAGCCAGACTTGTGCTGTCTGCAGAGGACAGCTGAACAAAATCAGCTCCAAAAGCCTTGAATGTAGGTAAATACATGATTCAGAACACGGAGAGGTTTGACAAATCAGCATCTTCCCATGCCGAGGGGTATAAAACATGTAGCTGTTCCACCACCACAATTTACAGGGAAGGCATTTCTCCTGGAAGTAAGAGAACACTTAGCATATATTCCTAGCCAGATTGATTACCCCTATTTATATTGTAAACCAAGACAGCATGTACTAAACCCATAGAGTTAACCAGTTCCAGACCCCATATCCTGGGGGAGAGGGGTCAGTTTTCCATCGGCTGCTGCACAGTCCTGTGCATTTATTACAGAGAGTACAGGGTTTCCTGCAGCATGGTTTTGTGTGTGTGTGTGCTGATTCTCGTGGTATTTCAACAACCATCAGGAGGAACACTGCTATTTTATGGGATGTCAGGGAATCAGAGAATCCACGAGGTTTTTTAAAGTTTGTTTTTAAGTTTTGTTTAAAATTGCCAAGAAGCCAGCGTGCCACTATAAATACAAATATGTATAACAACTGCAATCTGCTCTGGGACAATAAAACCCCAGGATTGAAGGCAGCATGCTCTATCTGAGTATGTACATTTATCCTGCAGTAAGATCGACCCATATTCTGTGGATCCGACCTGCAGGGTGTTCCATCAGCCTCCTCTCACAGACAACCTGCCCAGCTGGACAACCCTCATTTCCTCTCTAAGTTACAGATCCAGTTTCAACATCCAACAGCAGATACAAGCAGAGCTCTAGGACGTGCTCTCTGGTGTGTCTGCTCAGGAGTCAGTGCTGCTCCTACACTGGGCAGCTCCACTGGGCCAGGAGACCCCGGAGCTCAACCACAAGGCATTGAGCCAGACTCAAGGGCTTGTCTATCCCTAAGAGAAAGCTCCTTTTCTAGCCAATTTCCAGTTTCTTCTTTTTCTCTCTTTAAACACTGATAAGATGAGAGATGTTGGAGCTGCCTGTTGGTTTATATTACAGTTTTTGGAGGGATAGGTTTCAGCGTGTTGCTGTAACAAATATAAGAGTGAAATTGGAAGAGATGGTGATTTGAGCTAACACAATTAAAATTTATTCTTAACAACAATCCACAGATATACAGTGCCAAACACAATCTAGAGTCATCAACTAGCTTGGACATGAATTAACCTAATAGCTTCTGAAAGAAAAAGAAGTCCTATGAAAAAATCCTCCTATTAAAGTAATTAAGTGTTATCAGAATCACAGAGACATAATTAAACACAGTTTATAATTAAAACAGCATGTGTCCTAGACAGAGAACACAGCAACAAAGAGACTATAACCATGACAGTCGATGCCAAAACACATGCCAAGTACCAAAAATCAGAAGAACAGGCGAGTTTCTAGCAAAGCTGCAGATTCAGAGCCTCTGCTGCCATGACTGAGCCATCGCCACTCTGAGGGACATGAGCGCACTCAGAACTCCTCAGGGCTTTGCAAGGGGCTGCCAAAGTCGAAGCAGAACTCTTGGGAACCAGGAAGACACTGAGTGCAAGGCCCAAAACACCGAAGCAGCGCCTGCTGTGCAGGGAACAGCGAGCGAGAGGGCCCCGGGACTCAAACCAGCCTCGTCCTACCTGGCAGCGGCTGAAGATATCGCTCAGGGACACCTGGACGTTGAAGTGCTTCAGAACCTGCAGGGCCTGTTCTTTCGCCTTTTCTGAGCAGTTCACAGAGAAACACCTTCCTTCTCCCACCTGGGACTGCAGCTTCAAACCAAAAAGACATTCAGTGAGGCACACCATGGCATGTGGGGATTTTCCTGACACACTTGGTTTGGTTTGAATTACAAATAATGTTTGGAGTTAGTATGTGTTTACAGTCTGAATTTTGATCTAACCAGCACAGTTGGTAATTTAACAGTCAGTCACCGCTGCAGTAGCTCTGACTCCTGAAGCACTGCAGTATTTTATAAACATGAAATATGATTCAGCCTGAAGAAAAGGAGGCTCAGGGGGAACCTTCTCCCTCTCTACAACTCCTTGACAGGAGGTCGGATCCAGGTCAGGGTTGGGCTCTGCTCCCAGGTAACAAGAGGAAACGACCTCAAATTGTGCCAGGGGACATTTAGGTTGGATATTAGGGAAAGTTTCTTCACTGAAAAGGTTGTCCAGCCCTGGCACAGGATGCCCAGGACAGTGGTGGAGTCTCATCCCTGGAGGGATTCAAAAAACATGTGGATGGGATACTTGAGGACACAGGTTAGCAGTGGCCTTGGTGGTGGTGCTGGGTTAACAGTTGGACTTGATGATTTTAAAGGTCTTTTCCAACCTTAATGATTCCATGATTCTATTCTACAGAATATGCCAAATCCTGTCAGTTTATAAGTTGGTGCAGTGGTGCTGACAGGGGTAGCAAGAGGAAACTGAATTAAATCCCAGCTATCAGATGAAACCTGGCCAAATCAGTGTGCCAAAGCACGAGGATGGCTGTCCAATGACCCTTCCAACCCTTCTGCTTCACAGAATGTTTAAGTTCCCTTATGGCCAAAAAATTTGAAGGGGTTGACGTGGACAGTCCCTCAATGTTTGTTCCACATTTGGGAGAGAAGTCTGCATCTGGGAACAAGCACTGGGAAGTTCCAGACACATTTTTACAACCATGCTGAGTACTCATAAGGTGGGATAGCTGCACACCAGAAAAGGAGCCTGGCAGAGCCATCCTGTCCTTGCAGAGGGCATCCGAAGGCAAGGGAACAAAGGGATCCAGATGTTTCCCAGGTCAGTATTGTACACTGGAAGCAGTTATTTTCCTTCTACAATTCCTACACAGAACTTCGATGTTTAAGCTTTGCCAAACAAGATTATGCTGGATGCTGAATTACCTATAACATCAGCTGTAGGCTCAAGGAACCACAGTCTGGATGAAGAACCTGCAGTGTGGCACAACTGCACTTGCCTCTGTGTCTCATCATGGGGGGAGTTTTCTTCCACACTCAGCTATGACACAGGAAATTATCAACTCATATTCTGCAAATAATCCAACTGGCTGATTGAGTAGTTGGGAGCTTTTGTACTGACAGTTTGTGACAGAGAAGTTCTGCACTCTGGCTCACGTGAACAGAACTCTGGCTCATCCAGAACAGTTTCCCTCTTCCAAACGAATTTTTGGGCAGTAAAAAATTGCTGCCTGGAGCAGGTCATTACAACATTGCAACCACTGACTTGGCAGGTTCAGCAGATCCCCACCAACACTGCCTGTGAAGGACTCTGAACAGCTGGTGTTGAGGGTAAGGTTGGGTTTTGCTTTGACTTTTTTGTTTATCTATAGGAACACAAAACCTCTACAGCTTCCATCAGGACCCTTGGGGACCTCCAATCTCTGAAGAAATGTCTTTAAGTGTTGAAACTCTGTCAGTGTGGGGCCAGTCAGTAAACAAGAATCTCTGGGATAAAAAGCACAGGAATGGAGCTGCCTTTCACCTGCCAGTGAGGTCAAACAGAAACATTTTGTTCTGGATTGCTTGGCTTGACTTCCACCCCTGCCCCCAACGGAGAGCAATTGCTCTCCCCACTGATGCAGGACTGAGAATAAGTATAAAAGAACATTTCACCCCAAGCTTTGGCAGTTGAGAACAGCAAACCTCTCAAGACCCTTAACACAGCTTTTAGTGCAGAAAATATGAAAAAGCCAAGCCAGCTGTTGCATTCACATCTGACTTTTCCTCTTCTCTCCCCTGCACACCCCAGACCACGCAGTGACACAGTGCCAGAACCACGGCAGCAGCTCGGAACACTTACAGTCTGATATGGGAGTCCAGAGGTTAAAATGACTCTTCCTTCCTGTCGGGCAATCTGGAAAAAACAGTAAAAATCCAAATGAACAGGGGCTGAAGTTACACTGTGTTCAAGCTTTACTTGCAGTCACAAGAGAGAAGGTGAACTGGAGATCCTGAGTGTTTCTCTTCAGTGTCAGCCCACACCTGGCCTAGAGCTCTTGAGAGCCATAGCAGCTCAAGGTATGGCTCATCCCATGTCCCCTCCCTGCCAATCCCTGCCATGTCTCTCATGTGCTGGAACAAGCTGCATCTGCACTGCAGAGGGCCCAGGGAACCATCCCACCTTGAAACAATTCTATCCAAAACCCATCTTTTATTTTTTCCCTTAGCCCAGACTATTTCTATTTCCTCACTCTGGGTTACAAAGAAGCAAACACTTCTGCTGCACAGGGGAGAAAGGAAAAACTAGCTAAGCAGGTCATTACAGGAAAAAAATGTACCATGAAATGTGTCTGCAAACTTCATATCATCAACAGAAAATGCTCCTAAAAGAAAGAGGGTGTTATTGTCCCAGCAACCCAACACACAGGAATTATGCACCTTTCTGGGCTTTGAGGAATATCTCCCTTAGAGTTTATCACATCCCAACTTGTAGTCCCGAGCTTTTATCAGAGATCTGGTCCTTCAAGTGGAAGGTCTGCACTGAATTACCAGGGGGCTCATCACCCACACTGCTGACCTTCCCCCAGAGCCAGAGACACTGCAAATGGGTTGGTGCCAAAAGGAGACACTAAATCTGGAGCTGCAAGGATGGAAGTGTGACTGACCTTATGACTGAATGACATTCCTCCCTCCCTCCCCCTCCCCCTCCTGTGGGAGGGAAAGAGCTTCATGGCCATTGGTGGCAGGAGGATTCCAAAGGATTCCCATGTGAACCAGGACTCAGCTCTGATCCTGTTGACAAGAGATCAGTGCTTTGAGGTAGGCATGAGGTCATCTTTCTTCTCTGGTTTGGATTCTGTTGGAAGCCCTCATGTTTTTCACTGATTCCAGATGTGTGTCCTGGAGGTCTCTCATCTGGTTCAGAGTTCAGCAGCTCTCTCTGGATCACTCTCTAACCTTGGCAGGAGGACACATGTGGGATCAAAGTCCTGCTGCACTTTCCACACAGATGACACCACCAAGCACAGCCAGGGAACAGCAGAAAACCCAACCATGACTTTTAAACTCTGTCTTGGACAGACATTTTTTTAAGACCCACTGGTTCTATGGCAACATGAAACAAGGGGGAGAAGGCTCTGAAGGTCCCATGCAGGCAGCTAAGCAACCTTTTTTTTTCTTTTTTTCCTTCTTGACCTTTTAGGTAGCTGCTTCCCTCCTTTTTTTGTGAAGTCACTCTTTGGCTGCCCGTTCTGCACTGAGAAAGCAATTGGTAACAACTTCTAAAGCACCTTCCTCCAGGTAAAATTACTGGATTTCTTTCAAAATCAGCTCTCTCTCTCTGGATGAAGGAAAAAATCGTTAAGAACAGGAACCTCGAAGGTGAGCGGCAGAGGCACCCCCTGCAATCCTGCTTCACACAGTTTGGGTACAGAGCAGCCAGGACAGCACCCTCCTGGCACATTATTGAGAGAAGTCTGGTAAGGCAACAGCAAAAGTTCACCACAGGGATCTGCCAGCAAGGGAAAAGAGATGTGAAACCCCTTCAGACCCACGTGTGCTTCAGGGTAAGGCTGAGGATTTCAGAGCTGGAACACTCCATTCTGACTTCCTGCATCCAGGGTTAATTAGTTCAAGCTTGATAAATCCCCTTATCTAAAATGGCTCTGCAGAGACAGGCAAAGAACATCAAATAAAAAGGAGAAAAGCAATAACTCTTAGAGCATGTTTTTCCGCCTCTGGAACAGAGACTGGGAGAAGCAGAGCCAGAAAAGCCACGTGACAGCACACATCTGACTGGGACCAAAGAGGCACAATTCCTTCTATTTCTCCAAAAGCAGTAGGGAAGGTAGTGCTGGGACCATCGGGAGATCTGTGGTCAGCGATGCAAACAAGAGGAAAGGAAGGCCCAGGGCAGCATTTTGGAGTGGGTGTCAGGGACCTGTGCTCCAGCCCAAGTGCTGCAGAGAGGGCATTAGTTTCACAATCTATTACAAAGATAACATCAACTTCCTCTGAAAAAGGCTCAGACCTTCTGGATAGAAAGCACTCCCTAATCTCTTGGTGTTACTGTTTAGCCCTTAACGTGCCTGCCTGTTCAGCCAACTTCCATCCTGCAGAGATGAAGGAACCCGAAGGAATTACTGTCAGAGAGACCCGAAAGGGCAATGACTGAGGAGAGAGGACAGAGAGCCCCTTTGCTTCAAAGCCAGCACCAGGATGATTTGTGACAACCTGAAGGATCCTGAAGTAAGGCCAAAAGAGGTTTCAAGAAACAGCAGCACAAGGCTTTGGATTTGTAAGTTAAACTTTGCCAAGTCTGTGCAAGACACATGTTGGGCAATGCCACATGCTCTTTAAGAAGCAAATTGCAGTCGAGGAAAAGCTGTGACCCCTTTCCAGTGATCCTGAGCCTGGGCCAGCAAGGTCCCAGTTCAGATGAAGAGGGAGTGTACAGAAAGTGTCTGCCCCAGGATGTGTGGTGGGAAAGCACTCAGACAAGGATCTACCAGAGAAGTGGATCACAAAACTCAGTCCAACCCTCGAGGCCCTGCCTGTTATCTCAGGTTCCTTTAAAACAGACAGTAAAACCAAGAGCTCAACAGCTCTGAGCACCCTCAGTCCAGCCCCACTGATACTGCAACCCTAAACTTCTCTTCAGCATTCCTGAAAACTATGCAATAACCATGAGTTATCACATGGTTTTGTAATGTGGCCTTAAGTATCACACCAAAACCATCCACCCAGTTTTGTTTCTTAATGCAGACTTGTTGGTATCAAGGTCTCTGACGAAACACCTCCTCCTCCTGCTGACCAAACATCACAAGCCAAGTCTTGATCTTGTAAGCAACACAGGTCTTCATCTGCCCTCTGTGAATTTAGCTCCCTGACAGTCTGTGCAGTGAAAACACCAGCAAATCTGAAGAATGTCATCTACATCAAAAATATGGAAAAAGCTTTCAAAGCTGAGACAAGATCTGAGATTAGATTCCCCCATTAAGTGAATCTCTGCTCACTGCAGTATTAAAGTCGCCTTTGTGTCCCCTGGCTCCAAATCAGTCCAGGGCAATTTAGATCTGGGTGCACAGTGCTCTATCTGGCTCCTGAGATCATCCAGCCTGACCCTCCTCTCCAACTCGCTGGTTCACCTGGAGTTTTGGGGGGTAGGTGTAACCTTGCGAGGGAACCTTCCCCAGCATGGGAGCTGCAGGAAGCCAGTTTTACCTGCCTTCTGGTTATTATCACACTTCAAAAGGTACCAGGTTTGTCTTAGTGTCAAAGTATTCTTAGAGATGAGGATGATTTTGAGGACCAAGAGCAAAGTCCATTAAAAAAATAAAACAAACCAACCCTCAACTCAACTGAAGCAGCTTTGAGATTCCACTGAGTCTCTTATTAGAAACCTAAGAGACTACCAAAATTTTCTTAAAAACTTCTTCTCTACTCCTGACGTACATTGCAGGATCTACTGTAGTCACTTCAGGCTGATGGGTGATCCTTTAAGTTCAGAATGAGAAGCATCTGCCTGATCTACAAAATTGCAGAGAAAAGAGGAACACCCACTGAAACTTTCCTATCTTCTTCCAATTATCCATCTCGAAAATTCAAAAGATAGGTTTAAGATTCTCTGAAAGGAGAAGTTTGCAGAAGACAATCTGGAATCATAAAATAGTTTGGGTTGGAAGGGATCTTTTAAAGGTCATCTCGTTCCAACTCCCCTTCAGTGAGCAGGGACATCCTCAACCGGATCAGTTTGCTCAGAGCCTCCCTCCAACCTGACCAGAAATGTTTCCCAGGGATGGGGCATGGAAGACCTGGGTAGAAACCCTTACAGGCACAGGACATGATTTAAGTAAAGAATCTTGTATTAACTGGAAATAACATGTTGCTTATGGAATAAATGCAATGGCAAAGGGTGGCTCACCAAAACATGGCACCTGCACACCCCGAATGTGCTGCATCACAGAGATGGAACCTCAGCAATCTTTACCTGAGGGATCACCCTGGGCTGGAGTCAGTCCCCGGGGAGGAATGGCTGGATGCACACAACCCTTCTTCAGAGAGGCCACACAGCAGGGAGCCAGGCTTGGGCCAGTGCTCAAAGTCCAGCAGAAGGTCCTGCAGACCCACCCAAGGTGCAGGACCGGAGCAGTGCTGCCAGGCAGGAATGTGTCAGGAAAAGCATGTGCTGGATCCCATCTCTCAATGTACAGGCTGCTAATGTCAGGTAAAGGAGCTCATCCAGCACATCTGGAACAAATTTCATCACCCAGCTGCATTCCTGCTGTGCCAAATGTGTGTGCAAGTGCTACAGCAGGTAAGGTAGTGGTAAAAACAGCACTGGGTGAGAGGGCTTGGGAAAGGACACCTGTACTGCCCTTCCCCAAGAGGCTGGTGCTTGTGGACAGAGGCTAAAATGTTTCTGTAAGGATGGCCTGTGAGCTCTTTGCCTTTCACACAAGAACAGATTTCACCACAGACATTTTCAGTATGAGTTTCTCCTATTTTTCCATTTTTAAAGATTTTCTGTGTCTGTGCTTATGACAGGCAACTTTAATCAGTTGCTTCTCCAGTCAAATCCTGATTAAATAGCACCATTAAATCACAGACTGCAAGCTGGTGGCACCTCACAGGAGATAAACAGAACCATAGAATCACAGAATCATTAAGGTTGGGAAAGACCTCTAAGATCATTGAGTCCAGCTGTTAGCCCAGCACTGCCACCACTACATATGGACAACCAGGGGGGATCCAGTGGCTTGTGCTGTCAGAGGTCCTGCTCTCACATGCCTGCACATCTGAGATTGCAGATCTGGCACAATAAACTCGCCACGACAACTGATGTCCAAGATAAAACATTTAGCCAATAACAACAGCACAACATAAAGCAGAACACAGGACACAGATTTCACGTCCATGGAACAGGGACCTCCTGGGAACAGGGGTTCTCAAACCAATTCCTGCCACATGCACTAGTCTAAAACAAAACATAAATCAATTCCAGAGCTGCCCAAGCACAGCTGATGAAGTTCACAGGCTTTTAAGCTTGATCCCAAATAACAGAGGGTGAAGGACCAGACCTACCTGCCTATCAATACTTGAAGCCACTTTAACAAGCAACAGGAATGAGAACAATATGGAGCAAATGCCAGGTGGTGCAGGAGTTCTTGGCACAAGGAGATGTGTAATATGGCTGATAAATCATTTGAGTGAAAAGACTTTAACGAAGAACAAACACTAACTCTGTACACACTTATGTATTCCTGGTGACACTAGTTTGAGATTGTGCTGGGGCAACACCCAAACTGTCTGTCTCGTATTCAGTGACCTGGATTCAAACCCCCTCCTGGCCTTTGCAATAACATTTCCAAGTTTTTGGGCGTAGGGTGGTCAACATTCAACTTTGATTAAATCAGGACAAGCCAGATATAAAGCAGGGTGGGAGGAGTCTATTTTTATCTTTGATTATCCAAGCCCAGATCAAAGGCTCTGCAATACAGTAACACTCCAAGGGCTTTTGATAGTGAAAGGATGTTTGTCCGGTCACCATAGAGAAAGCAATGTCAAACATCCTGTCCGTGGCACGATAAGGTATCAGGATGAGAAGCGGAGACGGGGCTCTGGGGGAAGCAGTGAGAACTAGTTTGTTTAAATGACTTGTGCAAGTTTGGCGAGGAGGAGATATTAATTATTTCTGCAGAAGTTAGAGCCTGCCCCGGATTCAGGCCAAGCAGACATCTGAAGAGGAAACATCCTGCACACCAAGCCGGGTGATTCGCGCACATTTGACAGCACACACTGTGTGGGCTGGATATCTCCAGTTCTGGCACAGCAGAAATATGTCTGAAATGAAGCAGCACGTGTCTCTCCTCTGGGAGGCAGAGGATCAGAGTTCTTATGGGAGCCCAAATCAATGTTCACTGTCCCCGTGTATGTTAGAGACTCTTCCTTTTCCAATTATGTCATAGCAAGTTGTGGCTGATCACCTTTGGGTCACCTCATAAGGTGGTGGCCAGCCAGGACATTACATGGCCATTGATTATGGACATTTTCCCTTCCATACTGAATAGCCATCTTTGGATTATGGTTCTGTCCAACTAGAAACAAGGACCTGGACACAAGGCAAACAATTACCTTTCCTGTAAGCCCAGACTGGAATCCATTAGAAATCTAAGTGAATTTTGGGTTCCTTTCAGTGACTTTTGTCTTGTTGCAAACACACAGCCTCCCCAAAGACACTTGGTCACATCTTTGGGGGGCTGGAATGAGATGATCTTTAAGGTCCCTCCCAACCCAAACCATTCTGTGATTCTATGATCTTTACACTCTGCTTGTGTTCTTCTCATGACTTCAACTGCTCCGGCTGTCGATGACAGAAACAGACACAAATAAGAGTGAGATCACAGCAGTCTCTGCTCACCTCCTCTCTACTGGAAGCAGAGAACCAAGCCCACGCACCACTGCAGGGACCAGCTGTCACCAGCTGCCAGGTGACACAGCTCCTCAGACTGACCCGGAGAGCTGGGACCCAGCACAGGCACAGGAGGAGGCACCTGTGGGGCAGCTCCTGCACCCACTGCCTGTTGGGCACAGTGACAGCCAGTGCAGCTCCGGAGCAGGCAGCAGCCATCCCCAGGGAGCACAGTGGCAGCTATGAACATGCACATGTGTGTGTCTGACTCACCTCAGCAGCTTTCCTGTGGTCATCCTCGTTGTCCAGCATCCGGACATCCACACCCAGGCAGCGCAGGTAGCGCCCGAGGCCCTGCAGCATGTTGTCACAGACCACGCTGAACTCCCTGGGGGACACAGGGGCAGGGGCACGGGAGGTCTCCATCTGGGATCCTTGGCATTGCTAGAGAAAGGCAAGAGACCCATAAACAGCAGGCTGATTTCCAGTACATTCGTGTTTTACCCCCCTGCATTCACCCATGAAACAAATCCAGCTGTCTCCTTCCACCTGTATCACACCACGCTCTGCAACACCTCTAGATCCTCCTTCCCTCCTTCCACACTGCCCACTGCCATGTGGGTAGGAGGTAGCACACGATGGGGCTAATTCTGAATTAGTCATTGTCTCACTGGCCAGCTGGCCACCCGATCCAGGGAGCTGCAGCCTTTCCCTGGAGAAATGCCAACCTGGCCTTCAGTGCTCTACACAGACATCCATCTTCGTGAAGTCACTGAAACATCGTCAAGGCTGTTCCCCTATGGAATTAGTGTGCAACTAATAAACATGTGCCAAAGCCATGATTTGGGAAGGGGATCACACAGACAGAGGGAGAAACAGGTAGACAAAGCAACCACGTCAGCTCTGTTATCTTTGGAAGGTTAAAAATAGGCAGTGCCTGAATTCTGTTTGTTTTATTTCGAATATCTGCTGCTGGGGGAGTTCCTGCACTTGGAGGACTTCAGCACTGGGAGGCTCCCAGAAGTACAATAGCTAAATTCACGGAGAAGGGAAGTTATTAAGGAACTTCCAATGTTCAGCTTTTGACTCCAGGAACTTGAATCAGCTGGGATGACTGAAGGACACAGCCAGCACCTATGCAGGGAGTCAGCACTGCAGATTAGCCCTGCAGGAGCTGGCTCAAGGCTGGGAATGCTGTGGCACAACATGCAGCTCCACCTGGGCTGACCCTGGGAACCAGCTCAGATCCAGGAGCTCCACTGGTGTGAGGCTGCACCTCCCAGAAGCTGGTCCAGGAGCTCAGGGCTCTGCAGCACTGGGCAGACTGTGCTGTCACCAGCTCCTGTAGGACCCTGGTGGATGCAGCCGTGTGCTGGGACAGCAGAGGGCTGTGACAAGGGATCGAGCTGCCCCTCGGTGCTGAGGCAGTTGGAAGACACTAACCCTGGCTGCTGCTGCTGCTCAAACAGATGTGCAGGAGCAGCAGCTGGTCCTCACCAGTGTTTATGCAGTGGCCAGCACTGTCATATGTAGCTTTTTTCTCACGTTTCATGCCAGCAGAGAGCAAAAAGCTTTATAAAGGAGAATAGAGTCATTAGCCCCACTTCAGATAGTGGACCAGGAAACACTGGGAAAGAGAGTCTGGAGTCCTGCAGGATGCAGAGTCAGGAGAAGTCTGCTTTTCTTGGCGTCCCAGTCCAGGTTTTACCAACTGCCTTGTAGTTCATGAATCTGACTGTACAGAACACAAAGATGACCCGTGAGTTCCCAAGGTAATTCAAGCCTGAAGTACTCACTTTTCCCATCTCTGCAGCAGCCAGTCAGCTCTGCTGTAACACAACATTCCCATGAACAAAGTGCTACTGAGCAGCTCCATGTTTTACTGCCTGCTGAGGACTAAGGGGACGCTGCTCTTCTACACCCTCCAGACAAGGTGGATACAGTCAGTAACATCTCAGCCCAGCCATGGAAGGTGGCATGGACTTCAGGAACTCAGCACACATTTGGGGCTCCTCACAAGGATACACAGTTACAGTGAGTCTTCTCAGGTAACAAACAAAATGGGGTTTCTGCTGAGGTTTCCAAAGGTGCATAAACCACTGGATGGTTCCATTTCAAAAGTAAAACTTTATTATTGAGAGGAACCAGTCACATTCTAAGATACTTAAGCAGAGTCACACAGCTCCAAGTTGTGGCCAGTGGAGTTTTAAGGCTCTGCCACAACACAGTCTACTGGGAGAGGCCAGTCCTGGATTGTGGTGCTGTGCAGGGAGGCAGAGACAAATCTTCAGCAGAAAGGCATTTTTGATGGATTGTTTGCTTTCAACTTTGCACACTTGTACTCCAGACACAACTAAGGAGACTTTCCCAGGGTGAAACTAAGGTGTGGAAGCTTAGTAAAAGAAAAAGTAAAAAGGTCAGAATTTTAAACCTCTTGGATGCAACACCTTGGTCACAGAATCCAAGCCCACAGCACTGAGGAAACATGGAAGGAGATTTCCACCAGCAAGGCTCACTGGACTCTGCACACAGATCTGCACCAACACTGTGCAAAGACAAAAGAACCTCAAAGTGCAGGGAAAGGTGAACTCAGGCAGGCCAAGGAGAAAGCACATCATTCCAGGGAGGGAGGGATGAGGAGGATGTTTGCTGCAATAGTCCTGAGAACAGGCTGCACATGGGCCTGCCGTGCATAGCTCGTGGTATGACTGAGCACGAGCAGGGTATGATTTGCAGGGGTCTTGAGCAACACGCAGCTCTTTGAAGATGTTTACAAACCTGTCCAGAAGGTGACAGTGCTTCTTGTTTATTCAGCTGCTTCTTTGCCCTGGGTTTTACGCTCCGTTTTCCCACCAGACTCTCCATCAGGTCTGAGCTCAGCCCAAAGCTCTCTGGGTCCCTGCAGAGCCTCTCGTAGATCTCCAGCAAACAGTACGCGTCGGAGGCTGAAAGGAAGGGGATATGAGCCTCACCTGGTTCCATTCAAAAGTAAACCAGAGGCTTTCCTGATGTCAGGGAGAGCCCCCACCTTTGTAAAAGCCACTGTGAACAACCTGAGAAGCTCCAACTCACTCACGTCATACCCTGTGCTCCGTGACTGATTCAAGAAGCCTCATAACTGAACACAGTCACAGCGGGTCAAGGCAGGATCTCCAAAGGTGACAGGCTCTGCCCTCTCCACTCTGACACAATGCCAACTGTAGTGGGGCTGTTCCAACCACCACCTGATAGCTCCAGCCAGCCCCTGCTCCTCATCATTGTCCCTGAGCCTGCCCACGGCTCCTCACCACATCTCTCGATGGGAAGGGAACTTCCCCACTAGATGCAATATCTGAAAAGGCATTAACTGAGCTGTTTGCAATCACCTGCCCACACGCATTGTTGTGTGGCTCTGCTCCCTGCAACGGGAACTGCCAGAGTCTCCCAGCCAGTTTGACAAGTCCTAGTGATTAACTTTTGTGGGAACTGTGTCAGCTTCAAGGATAGTTGAATTTAACAAAGGGCTGGTTTGCTTCAGCAAAGACTGTCCTTTGATGCCCCAGGAAAAGATTTAGACCCAGACTTCTGACTCTGGGATAATCAGCAATAAACTCCTCTGGTCCCTCCACAGTCCTGATTCTGTGCTGCAGTTTCTGACACCACGTCTGCCCATTTCTAACCCGACTCTAACAAGCACTTCACTGTGACAAATGAACACAGCATTTGTTTCCCAGGAAGGCTGTGAAATGAGGCAGAAGGAAGTGGACTTTCTTCCTTTCAGTTACTGAGAAGAGTTTCCACTGAGGTGATGTTTCATCAGACAAAATCTGCAAAGCACAGGAATTCCTTCATAAGGGAAATAATGAATCACTGGACAGTTTAAACTTCAACCATTAAAGCCACGTCCGCAAAAGGACAAACAAAACATGTGCTGACTCCTCTGAACAGGAACTAATCTGCAAAGCCATTCTCTTCCTTTGCTACTTAACGACCTTCCTGGTGACAGAACAGCCAAACCCGACCTGTCCTGGACACCTGTAGCTCGGTGTCACCGAGCAGGGACCAGACCTGCATAGAGGATCTGCTCCTCCCGGAGGGGCCGTTTCTCCCAGTTGGACAGCTGCTCCGTTTTATCCAGAGGTTTCCCCAGCACATGGTGCACCAGGAGGCTGAGTCCCTTCTCCTGCTGCCTGCCCCCTCTCTCCTCGTGGCTGTGCTCTGGGGACAGTCCATCAACCTTCCGGCCGTCCCTCCTCCACTCACTGCAGCCCTTCTGCAGCTGATGGAAACAAAGAGATAGAAAACACCTGGTTATAAAACAGCTTCACCACCACCTCGTGTTCCAGCGGGTGGGGCCAGGCACAACTCTATCACGTCTATCTCCTGCCTGGCATATTGAACCCCGTTGTCTCAGACAAGGGCTGGGATGGCATTAGATATAAACGGCGTCGGGTTATTTGCTTAACAAACACACTTGTTGGAGAGAAATCTGTTTCATAGCCAAGGAAGAAAAAAAAGGGCATTGTTGTACAGCATTGTACCAGAGCTGCAGGGCTGGGACTGGGGCTCCTCAGAGAGCTCTGGGTGCCCAGCTGTGCTGGAGGCTGCTAGGCACCCACTCAATAAAAGTGGGCAGTTCAGCGTCTTTCTGCTCCTTGTTCCAGTGGGAAAAGGCATTCCTGTGCCACCCTGGGCAGCAGCCCTTTCTGAAGCTGCCATTTCTCAGGTTAAACTGAGGCAATAGCTGTTGGCAGGTACGTCAGCCCCTGCAGCACTTCCCAGGTTAAGCTATCAGTCCCAAAGATCTGCTTCACCCCAACCCACAGCCTTAAACACCTCTGTACATTTTACCCATTAAAATGGTTGTGCTCAACATTTCTGCAGAATGCTGAAAGCTCCTGTGTGCAAACCCAGGGACAGCTGTGCTTCAGCTGACCAGAAATTCCTGTGCTGAACCCACCAGCAGCCCTCCAAGGAACATTAGAGTTCTGCACAAATCATTAACTCCATCATATCTGCTTCAATACTGTATGGTCCTGGGATAGCAGAATTCCTACAAGAACTTAGTATTAAGTTCAACTTGTGCTCAGAAACCTTGCCCTGGCTGAATGGAGCTTTTATAAAGGCTGTGAAAAAGCTGTCAGTATTGCAAGCTTTAACCTTTTAGCTGATGAAAACAAAATGCTTCTGTCTTCCTTTACAGAATCCCAACACATCAAACACACTACAGGAAATGGTCTATTTACACATGTAGCTGCAACCCTGCCAATCCAGGATACAAACAGACAGTGCTGTGGATTCAGGACAGTTATCCACCAGTACACACCAGAGACACAACTCCCCACATCTCGATGTGTTCATCCTTACTTGTTTGTCCACTGTGAGTAGATCCACCACACCATGCAGTTGCTTCTCCGTGTCTTTCAGAGCAGAACATGTGGCTGCAAGGCTGCTGAGGTCTCCAGACATCCCATAACCTGGAGACAAAAATAGCCCAAATCACACAGGTAAGAAAACTCAGGTCATGGCTAAAGCACTGCAGCTTCTTCTACTTCAGAGTCAAAATGCTGACAAAAGATACACAAACGCTGGTGGGAAGACTGTTCAAACAGGGAAAAAGATTGGCTCCCATCTCTCCTCTTCCCAAAAGACACTCCTGCAGATCCAGGGAGAGAAGAGGTGGATGAAAAATGCTGAGTTTTAAGACCAACTTATTTAAAATCTGGGAAGGTAATTATGAATTTGTCCTTGAAATCCGGGCTTTGCAAATCCTGTCAAAAGCCTCCAAAAACCAGGTATGGTAATTCAGAGGGCTCTGGTGCCCAGCACAACAGCTCTGGGGCAGGGACAGGGACATTCAGAAAGCTCTGCCAGACTTCCCTAAACCACTGAGGTTTGAGTGTCAGTTGGAGCTTAGTATGGAATTAGGGTAATCCCAAGTCCAAGAGTGCAAGCTAAATCAGAAATCTTGGCTCTGATCTGAAATGGGGAAATATAATGGCATGAAACTGTGTCAGGGCAGGTCAGGTTGGATCTCAGGAAAAGGTTCTTCCCCCAGAGGGTGGTTGGGCACTGACCAGGCTCCCCAGGGCAGTGGGTACAGCCCCAAGGCTGCCAGAGCTCCAGGAGTGTTTGGACAACGCTCTGAGGGCCAGGGTGGGATTATTGGGGTGTGTGTGCAGGGCCAGGGGTTGGACTGGATGGTCCTTGTGGGTCCCCTCCAGCTCAGGATATTCTAGGGTTCTGTGATTCTATATTTCTATCATTCCCCTGGTCACCCTGCTTCCTGGCCTGGAAGTGCCTCAACACCCAGGGCTACAAAAGTTGATTCCATGGCAAGTGGATTTGGAGAATGACAACTCCAAGAAGATCTAGGAATGACAAAAATGACAAAGCAGGCTGTGTGAAGCCTCAGGGCAGGGAGAAGAGAGGTGTGTTACCTAGTTTAGTGATGGCAGCATCTGAATAGAGCATCTGGATGAATCGGGGGAGCTTCTCCTTCTCCCCTTCCAGCTCAGCTTGCTCGAGGAGCCGTGGCAGGTCCAACAGGAACACCTCATCCTTCACTGCCATCTGGAGGAGGGCGACACGGGGCTTCCCCACCATGCCAAAGGAAGGCTTCCACTCCATGTCAACGCCAACAACCTGCCCAGGCTGCAACACAGACACCTCCTGCACTCAGAGACTTGCTGTGCTGGAGAGGGGCCTGGAGAGTCTGTCCAGGACACAAACCTTTCCTTTCCAACCACGGGAGCTCTTTGTGCAAACTGCTACAGAGACAGTAACTCCCACAGCACCTGAGTCCCCCTGCAGGGACCTTTCCTGGCACAATTCCTGACACGTTCCCCAGATCCCACAAACCTAAAGGAGCAGCTATTCTTGGCTTGGGGAGGGAGACATTGGATGGCAGTGGCCACATCCAGCCATGAGTATGAGCCTGATACAGAGTTCCTGCTCCCTGACCCTGCAAAGTCAATCCCAGGTAACACTCACCTGCAGCACCTTCTCCCAGCACTGCAGTGTCTCTTCCCATGTCTGCAGGAAGTGAATATTTTCCCGTGGAATAGGAAGCTGATAAAAGTCCTTCTTCTTACTGTCTTCATAATTATTTGCTTTTGTGGCCTCTTCTACCCTGCACAAAATCAGATACAATAGTTTTAAGCCATGCAATGGGAGAAAATCCTGGATTTGAGGAAAAGTGGGAAGTCTCACGCTCAGCCCACTCTTTTTCCATGACACTTTCTCTTACCCACTCTTTCCTCACTTTCCCTGTAATCTCAGTCTTTGATCTTAGAATAACAGAATCATAGAATGGTTTGGGTTGGAAAGGACCTTAAAGCTCATCCATTTCCAACCCCCTGCCATGGGCAGGGACACCTTCCACTAGCCCAGGTTACTCCAAGCCCTGTCCAACCTGGCCTTGGACACTTCCAGGGATGGGGCAGCCACAGCTTCTCTGGACAACCTGGGCCAGGGCCTCACCACCCTCACAGCCAACAATTCCTTCCCAATATCCCATCTATCCCTGCCCTCAGGCAGTGGGAAGCCATCCCCTATTGTCCTGTCACTCCAGGCCCTTGTGAAAAGTCCCTCTCCAACCTTCTTGTAGGCTCATCCTCTCTTTCCATTCCTTTCCCACGAGCTCATCATGCACAGGCACTGTATCCACCGAAGAGAACACCCACACCACTTGCTGGAGTCAGAGCCCAAGCCTGTCCTCAATGCTCATCCCTCTTGCCCAGAACCTGGATGACAAAGTTGGGCAGCTGTTTCCACATTCAGGGATAACACATTTTAGATTTAGTGATTCTTGCCTTCGAGCTAACACAGGTGCCTGCTCGTCTGGAGAGTCAGCTCTGAGCAGCACTGTGTCCAAACAGGAGCCTCACTCTGCCCCACTCACACAGCCCCTCAGACTGCTCCACACTCAGATCCCCATCAGCTGGGAACAGGGGAATCTGCCTCATCACTTTACAGTGCAATGGCTTGGGAAGGCTTCACAGACCTCCCTGAAGCTATCTAGCTTCTCCTCCTCCATTCTCTTCCCTGTAAAATGGTCACATAGGGTGCACAAGGACATTTGTCGTACATTGCATAGGGATGAAATGAAAAAAGTTCAGAAATAAAGATTCAAACCCTTCTCTGTTTTGGGGAAGGCAGCAGTTGAACCCACAGTGTGTGTGCCGTGCTTGTGCTACTCCCTCCGTGTGGGTTTCTGATGGCACCACACAGAGAAACTCAGTCTCTGTGTATTAATTCCCTGGGAATGTTGGAAGATGTCTGCAAAAATGAGCTAAATGATTGCCTACAACAGGATCTTACACAGCACATTTTCTGTTCCAAATGCAGCAGAATCTCGTGAAATGCCCTCAGAAATGAAGGTCAGCGTGTTGCTCTGGCAGCTCAGCCAGATGATGCAATCAGAGAAAAGAAACTAATCAAAAAGATCCAGCTACTTTGGACGTATCACACATTTCTGGATAGTCTCTTTCCCATAGAAACTTGAAATGGTTCATTATTTGAGAAGCTGTTTACTAACCCTGTGTTTGGGAGCCTGCGTGACTAACTTTGTAGCAGAGCAGCTCTCCTTGCACAAACACTCTTTCCCGTGGGTTTGTGTGCATGGGGAAGTCAATATTTGTGTAAAATATTTAATGAAGGTGTGTAGGCTCAGGTCTCCAGGAATATTCTCACCTGCAGAGCTCAGGAGCCCCGTGTGGTGTGACCAGAGACAGATGATGTCATTTATATGCTGGTGCCACCTTGTTCTCTGCAGTGTGAACTCCCTCTCTGGGAACCTGTGGCTTTGTTGGCTCAATAAACAAGGCAGTCAGACTGTTTTATGGGGTTCCATGGTTCTGCTGACTTTATAGCAGCTACTACAGCAGGTATCCTGACCGGAGGAGTAAACGGCAGCATAAAGGGTTTTATTCATCTGTCCCAACTCCTCACGCAGGGCAGAGCACATCCTCACTGCCTTGCCTTCCCTCCACCTGGCACAGCACAGGATTCCCATAGCACAGAGATGTAGTGATGAGTTTTATCTCTAGATGCACAGTCTGTTGTTCAGCCACACTCCTGTAACCATCCCTTTGTGTTTTGAGGGCTTATCCCTCATGCAAAAACCTCCTGGCTCCCAACTGGCAGCTGATGCGGCTTTAGAAGGGAGGAGGAGGAGGAGGAGGAGGAGGAGCAGGAGGAGGGCAGCTCCAGCAGTGCATCAGAGCGAGGCAGGAGCATGTCCTAGACAGACAAGAGTTTCCTGCACTCCAGAAAAGCCACGGACCCTCTGGAGAAGTTGTTCTTTGCAGAGAGTGTTTCAATCTGTGTCGTGTTTCCTGAGGTGACGTGGGGCCTGAACAAGAACCAGATCTGCACTAGGAGAAACAGCAGATCCACAAAGCCATGATCCATAAACATGAACAGTTCAAGGCCACCTGTGAGACTTTCCCAAAATCATCAGCATTAAAAAAATAGTAACACACCGTGGTCTCATTCACCTTCAAGTTAGTCCAATCCATGCTCCAAAAATACCAATTTAGTTATGAAAGCATAAGCACCTCTTCATAGGAGACTGAAATAGGCTGCAATATGGAGGACAGCAAATCTGATGATAAATCCATTGGAGCAGACAGTCCTGCTCAGTCTCAGGCTTGGTCTTCTTAAAATGGTCTCCTTATTCCACAGAGAGGTGTTGGCATTAATCAGGCAGCCAGTGACAGATCCCAGCTGTTACTTGGAGTTCACAATTCGGACATAAGACCCCAGGAGGAAAGTCCTGCTGTAAGAACATCAGGTAAAAGGACACTCCCAAATCACCTGCACACAACTGCACGTTTGCAGCGACAGGAGGAAGCCCCAGCCCACACAAGATGACCGTGGCTGTGCAGACTCGTGCCCCACTCGTGCCAAGAGGGCTCTGCCTCTGTTTCTCATCACAAGCATGGTGCTGGACTTCCCAGCCTGCTGCCCATGGAGCAGTGACCTTCGACTTTCTGATGGCTTTATTCCTCCCCAAACAGGCAATGTCTGAGGTCATCACAGCTCCTCCTGGACACACAGTTCATTACAACTCAGATCCACACTTCCATCACATACACTGAGAAGTTCAGCTCCATATGGGAAGTTACTCCCTCATATTAAAGGCTTCAAGGGCCATGTTTGCAGGTTGCTGAAGGTACAGGCTCTCAGCTTGCACAAAGTTGTCAATGGTTACCTCTTGGGAGTGGTCAGAATTTTTCCATAAACATTTCTCTAATCCCAGCTCCCTTCTGAACCAGAGACACCAATCTCCATGTCAAAAAACCCAACATGTTTCACCAGTGAGGGTAAGAGAGAGATATGTGGAAGGTGAAGCCAAATCCAGTCAAGCATAACACCCTGGAATAAGGTGGCTGATGTGTTCAACAATCAAAGAGTTGTAAGGAACCTACTGCTTCCTCTCTTTGGTTTTTGAAAAAAGCCTTGACTGCACCTGGAAACATGTTATTGCTCCTGGAATGACAGCAAAGCTCTGAGCTCTGCTGCACCACAACCACAGCCCACAGCTCCTGCATTTGCATGGAGCTCAGGGATAAGTCCTCTTCCCTGCACAGGAATCCAATTAGATGAATTCCTGCACATGAATGAGCAGAGACCAGCAAGGTGGCTGGGTAATGACTCTGACCCCAAGGGCTGTGGTGCCCTGCAGCCTCGCAGGGGTTTGGCTCAGGAACAGTGTGGGCACAGAGTTCTGGGCTCTGTGTTGATGGGCCTCATCCAGCCTGAGGTTCTAGATCTCCTCTGCAGCCCTGGGTGAGATCCTAACAGGATCCTCATGCAGTATCCACTGCCAGCTCTGCAGGTTCCTCAAGACTTTTAGTAGCCTGAATATCTGCAGGAGAAAAAGGATTAAAAAAGGGTGGCAAACATGGGGAACATGGCACTGGGTTATTGGGATTGCATCAGAGGAAGAAAAGAGAACAGAGACTAATGAGGGGGCTAATAGCTTCTTAAGTTCACTTATTCAATTAATGTGTCTCTTCTGGGATCTGACCCCAAATGTCAAAAATTCTCAATACTTCTTTGGATGAAGCCAACATTACAGACTGGGAAAAAAACTGGCTTATGAGCTGTAAAAGAAGGACGAAAATAAATACAATTAAAAAATCTAAGGAACTTTACAATTAGTTTCTTGGTCATAAGCCTTCTGAAAGGCATTAAACCAGGTTACAGTCCAGTGGGGGTGCAGAGCACACGGAAAACTTTGACAGATGTGTAATAACCTCAGTAAAACAGATGCATATTCAGGTCCTAGTCACACGATTCCATTTGCACTGTTGATCTGGCAGAGGAAACGTAAGAACCCTCTGCAGCATGAAGCAATCTCACAGAGCTTCTGTGATAAACTCAGGATGAGTTTAAAATGCTCCTTTCACAGACACTTCCAGGCTTATGACAAACAAATGCAGCGTGTGCAGGGCCACGATGGGATCTGAGTACATGGAGGAAGCCTTTGCAAAATTGTCTTCCCAAGGAAGCATTATGGCAGATGATTTTAAGCAAATAAATATAGTCTTTGTACGACAAGTAATGTAGACTGAAAAGGGTCTTTACCTCTCCTGGGTGTGAAGCTCTGGCAGGTCCTCAGCCAGGCCGGGAGGCAGCAGGTCCGCGGGCAGCCCCCAGTGCTGCGCCCAGCGCGCCGTGTGCCCGGGGCAGTGCCGCAGCAGCAGCTGCACCAGGTGCCCTTGGAGCCAGCGACTGTCCCCAGCTGTGCTCTGAGAGGGGAAGCAGAGTGAAGGAACACTGTCAATGCCATTCCCATCATGGCTGTCTCTCCCCCCCTCTCTGGGTGCAGTGTCCTGCGGGGGTCCTGGGCGAGGGCAGGGAGGAGCAGGAGCCACCCCACTGCCAGGGCAGGGCTCGTCCCACCGCAGGAGTGGTTTTCCAGTGGGTGCTGCACTTCTCTGCCAGGAGATGAACAGCACGCACTGCGAGCTCGTTCGGATACTTGTGCCCCCTTGCCAGCATGGCTGTTTGTCCAGGGAAGGCCACTTTGCAGGTACATCACAGAGAAACAAGGCTACACCACCACCACTGAGCCTGACTGGTGACCTGTATATTATTTACTTAGACACTGATTACATTAAGCAAAATCAGAACCAGTCACTAACCACAGAGCAAAGGTGTCTGCAATTAAACAGGTAATTATGTAGGGGTAAGAGTTTGGATTGTTTTAATCCCATGTTGCACCTGTACATAGCTCCGAAGTGATGCTGTGACTTGATGGCCTGTGAGAGGCAATAGAATAATAGAATCACAGAATAGGTTGGATTGGCAGTGACTTTTCAAGGTCCTCTAGTCCAAACCCCCTGCCATGGGCAGGGACACCTTCCACTAGACCAGAGTGCTCAGAGCCTCATCCAGCCCAGCCTTGGACACTTCCACGAATGGGGCAGCCACAGCTTCTCTGGGCAACCTGTGCCAGGGCCTCACCACCCTTGTTATAAAAAACTTCATCCTTATATCAAGTCTGAATGTCGCCTCTTTTAGTTTAAAATCATCACCCCTTGTCCTGCTGCAACAGGCCCTGCTAAAAACTCTGTCCCCATCGTTCTTATAAGCCCTCTCTAAGTACTGAAAGGCCGCATTGAGATATTCCTGATGCCTTCCCTTCTCCAGGTAAATAGCCCTGGCTCCCTCAGCCTGTCTCCAGAGCAGAGGGGCTCCAGGCCCTGGAGCATCTTCGTAGGATGGTTTAGTGTCTCTCAGGGCAGACAGTGGAGTGCGGCCTCATCCGCTCTTGGAAGTATTTGCACGGATAATTAGGATTGCCAGTCTCCCACAGGTGACAGGGAAGGCACATCAGCAAAGCCTTCCTGAGGGGCAGCTTTGGTGTTCACAGCCAGGGAAAGGCTGATGTCAGCCTACAGCTCCCCTGCACCCACTGCTGTGAAATGGGGGCACCAGGTCCCTCCTCCAGCCAGGGTGGGGCCCAGGGGGAGAGTGGTGTCACCCTGCACTGGAAACAGACTGCATGGAATGTGCTCTGAAAGTCCTCCTTCATTCCCACTGACAGTGAGAGGAACCTGGAGCAGTCACTCCAGCTGGGATGAACCAGGGTTGGGTGAAGGAATTCCTCCCTTTGTGTCTGTTTGAGGCCTCTGGGGCTGTGACAACCGGATCATTGCTCCAGCCATAGCGACAAACACACCCTGTTTGCACCTGCAAACAGGGAGGGCAGTTTAGGACATTCCCTGCTCCCATCTGTTCTCTGGAGGAAGTGAACGCATGCCTTGGCACACTGCAGAGCCTGGGGGCACCAGCACAGACTCATGCTGCCAGTGGTTTAAGTCCAAATCCCAGCTGTGAGCCAGCGTGGCTGGAGCATGGCAGGCTGCCCACCCTGGCATGGGCGAGGGGCAGGGCAGGGACACAGGGAGTGTGACAGCCCCCACGGGGACAGCTGGATGCACCAGAGCTCTTCTGACTCGTCCACCTCTTGGCAGGTGCAGTCGTAAGAGGAAATACAAACACAGTGACACCAACAGTCACAGCAGCTCCACGGGGGTGGCAGCACCCCTTGTCCCCCACATGTGCCTGCAAATATCCCAGAGCCATCACAGACAGGTTGGCAACTTGCTCCTCTCTGATTTACTCATGCATCTGCCTTAGAAGTTAATATTTCCTACAAAACTGCTAAAACAAGCTGAAAATCTACACGGGGGCTCAGGACCTGTAGCTCTAGGACTGGATCCCTGGTGGCACTACCAACAAGTATTTTCAGAGGACTGAACTGCTCAGATCTGCACTGAAAGTCCATCCCCACCCTGCACATGTCGCTGCCATCTCCCCTTTGCTGCCCACCAGCAGTGCCCAAGGGTCTGAGCCTGCTCCCAGGCACTGAGCCTGCTCCCAGGGATGGCAGCACCTTGCTCCTTGTCCCCAGCATGTAGGAACACCTCCCAGCGTTCCTACATGGGTGGGAGGCCGGGGCCATGGGGCCTCATTCCTCACATTCCTTCAGTAACTAAAAGGTGAGAAGTTGTCTTCAAAGCAGACACAGAGATCAGGAAACAGACCTGCTGATGGCCCCAAGGTAAAAGGGAAGGGAAAAAGAAAGCCAAGAAGAAAAAAGGAATGCCCCCCCCTCCAGAGGTGCAGGTGGGGGCAGAGGCTCCGCAGAACAGTTTGGAGGAATCCGGAACCCCAGGTAGCACCAGGCTGCTCACAAAAACTGCTGCCTCAGCACTACATCTGCACCTCTGAGACTCTGCCAAATGCCAAACCACAGCTCTTCTCACGGATATGTGGAGGAATAGTTTTACTGCTGTTCCCAAGAGGCTGGGGCACAGCAGGAGCCAGGGGCAGTGGGATGGGGGTCCAGCAGCTCACCAGGGGCTCAAGGACAGGAGGGAAGCTGGGGAAGGGGCAGGGCAGGAAAGGACAGGACAAGCTCTGCTGCTCACGCTTCTTGCCTTCTACATTTCCTCCTGAATTCTTCCCCTGGCCATGCCAGTCCTGACCTTTGTGCATCTCTCCCATCTCCACCTCCTGTGACTGAGCTCAGGCAAGCACTGAACACATGGAGAGGGGCTGAGTAACCCCTCCTGCTGTGGCTGCCAAGCCACTTCTCAGAGTCCTTCCCAAAAAGAACATATTTTCTTATTAACATCACAGAGCAATTCCCTCTTCTTGCTTCCCCTGTGTCCATCCTATTGTCTTCCTGCCTTTTTTCTAAAACACAGACTCTTTAGGGTTGGAGCTCTCTTCAGTTCACCCCAAGTCAATTCTTAATAAATCTAATCATGGCAGCTTTATTTCTGGAAATAATGAGGTGCAGATTTTTTTTTTATTATTTTAATGATAACAGATTATTTTTTTCAACCACAAAAAACAACTCTGTAAAGAAGGTTAATCTCTCCAGAGATATCCCATCTTGCATTCTGAAACAGAAAATAGCTTTGTTTGTCTTCTTACTGAAAAAAAACCCAACATTGCTCCAAAGGGGAAAGGCTTCCACCGCAACAGCTCTGCAAGAGGCAAGAATGTGGAAAGTTTGGCCCCAGAAGATGTGGGCACAGATGCAGAGAGCAATGTTTCACCAGGGATGACATTTCATGTGCTTTGCTGTCAGTAAATGAACACTTCTCAAGAGGAAACTGGCACAGTGCTCTGATCAACATCAGCGACACCTCGGAGCAGGAAAAGATTCTATAGAACATGAGGCTTGTTTAGATCCCTCTCGGAATTCTAGACATATCATACATTCTTTAATCCATAGGCGCACACAGAAACCCCTGACACAACAATAACCCATGATTAAAGCTTTCCAAAGCAACGGCTGCAGATTTCCTACCCGTAAATCCTGTTCTCACTGCCAGGGCTTCACAAAGCTCACACCAACCACGCAGGGCAAGCTCAGGAATGTCCTGACCTTAACCCATTAACAATTCCTCCTTCGGTACCAAAAATTTTGAATCCAAATATTCATTATCTCCTTTGGAAGTCACCCTATCCAACCCTAGATTACTTTATCTGTCTATGTTAAGCTGTGTGTCACTCTGATCCAATTCTCCCCTTTCCCTCAACTTCTTTTCCTGGAGAGGGACATTATTCACACCACTGACACTGGCTATTTGCAGAGTCAGATTTTAATTTAACTTTTGAATGTCTTGGCCAATTTCCCCTGTTTTTAAGTGGTTCCAGAATCAACAAAAAACCCCCTCCTGCTATTGTAGAGAAAATGTCAAGGAGAAGATTTTAGAGTCAGCAACTTTAAAAGGGGAAAAAGAAACGTGGACTTGTAATGGACAAAGCCCCTGTCAGCAGTGGAGGGCACAGACAGTACTGCTCAGTTCCCTGTGGTGCAGCAGGTACTGCAGACACCTGTGCTTGAAGATTCCCTGAGCATCCCACTGTGCTTCTGTCATTGCTACTTTGTTGTATCTGTGCTTGTAACTGTTCCCTTCATTTGTGCTGCATGGGGAGATGCTGCAGTGTCATTGGACATCAGACATCATTGAAGGAAACTCCTTGATGCATGAGATGGGAGTCGGTACCCTCAGCACCAGCCTAGACCAGGCCACAGCCTGTTCCCAGAGAGGAGGGGGATCCTGGCTTCTGGAGATCCTGAAGAGATCACAGAATCACAGAATGGTTTGGGTGGGAAGGGACTTTAGGGATCATCTCATTCCAACCTCCTGCCATGTGCAGGGACACCTTCCACTAGCCCAGGTTGCTCCAAGCCCTGTCCAACCTGGCCTTGGACACTTCCAGGAATGGGGCAGTCACAGCTTCTCTGTGCCAGGGCCTCACCCCCCTCACAGGGAAGAATTTCTCCTCAATATCTGATCTAACCCTGCCCTCCTTCAGCTTAAGGCCATCGCCCCTTGTCCTGTCACTATCTGCCCATGGGAAGTCCTTCTCCCTTTATCCTATAGGCCTCCTTTAAGTACCAAAAGGCCACAATAAGGCTTCCGCAGAGCCTTCTCCTCTTCAGGTGAACACCCCCAGCTCTTCTAGCCTGGCTTCAGAGCAGAGCCTCCAGCCCTTGGAGCATCTCTGTGTCCTCCTCTGGACTTGCTCCAGCAGATCCATGCCTTTGCTGCTGAGGACCCCAGAGCTGGACACAGTGCTCAAGGTGGGGTCTCACAAGGGCACAGTAGAGCGGCAAAACCCCTTCCCTTGGATACAAGTGCCAATTTTACCCCCACTTCCTTCTGAGCTGAGTTTGCTGTGAAAGCAGCAGCCACTCACCCACAGCCACTGCCCACAG